CCTGCCAAGAGATTGTTGTAGTAGCCAGGGCCGTGTGCCAACCATGATGTCTTTTGTGCTGCAAAGGTGGTCGTTCCATACATAACAGCTCAGCCCTCCCGTGTACGTCTATGGTTGTCACAGGACACGCTGTACGACAGCGCAGGCTATGCTGATGTTATCACTACCGTATTTGGAGGGCGCAACGCCAGAGTGGCTGCGGCTTTCGTGCGCAACAGAGGCAAGGACTGGGATCAGCTGGAGAAGGAAATGCTCAACGGCCAAAAGCTGCAAGTATGTATTCCCCTGGTAGCGGCAGCCTTCACGTGTTTATACAAGGGGCAATGGGAGTATTCCCCCTTTTACCATGAAGCCATCTGTATCCTGGACTTCTCAACATTCCCGTGCTATTTTGTGTGTGTGCGCCAGGGGCCGGCTACGCTCGAACTGGTGGCTGAGGTGATACGTGCAAACGAAGTTGAGCATCTTTTCCCGTTGTTCATGTCGACGTACGCGGTAGCATTTGAAAATGCCGAGCCGGAGGCAATCCTCGACGTTTTCCGCACCAATCGGCCGCGTAGCATTCAGCGGAGTGAAGATTGCGTGAAGCTGAAAGTTCCCTCGCTCGTGAAAGATGCAAGGACACGAATTGCGTCCCGCATGAAGAAGCTTGGGAGAAGCATCAGTGAACTGACAAGGAACCCACCAGACACCCCCGACAGCGCCTCAGAAGAAAGCAACCACAAGGCAGAGAATAATTGCGCCAAGCTGTAAAGCTTGAATGACTGGGCAAAGATAATGGAAGTTGCAGGTCACTGGACCCGCAAAGGAGGTGAACACTGCACTCACGGCGTATCGGTTTAGTCTCCACAAAGTCTGAAGACAACCAGGCGACTAACCGCCGGATGTTCAGNACTCACGGCGTATCGGTTTAGTCTCCACAAAGTCTGAAGACAACCAGGCGACTAACCGCCGGATGTTCAGTCTGGGCAGTTGACTGGGCACGTGACACTGTCCGGCCTGTTGGTGCCGAGGACTCCCCGACACGGCCACCCTCTAGAGGGACATCTGTGCAGCGATTTGGGGTGCATTCAACGGCATTGACAGGCATCTTCAGATATGTAGGGCGTGCATACGTTTGGATATGTGTTAACTTCATTCAGTATACATCGGCTGTGCTATTTCTAGCGGTGCAGTACCCGCCTGCTACTGGCTGCTTTAGCAGACTCTTGTGAAGGGCAGTTTTTACTTCCGTGGATGGTGTACCTAGGGTGAGCTCATGTGTATAGGGTGGCAGGAATCGAGTTTGTGCACTGCCGCTGGATGGATGTAAAAGGCCAATAGGTACTTGCGTGTCAGGTGTGCGGAGACGCAGCAGCTTATGCAGTCGTCTCCACGGTCCCGCCTTTACACGACAACAGCCCCATATAAATAGTTTGGTAGCAGTCAAGCCACATCTGCAAGGCAAAAACCATTCGTAGCTACGTGAGTTGATAGTGCAAACGGTCACTTCTGCGCGCGTTGCAAAAGGGGCGGGGTGGCTTAAAGGCATCACGTTCCGTGCAATGAGCGTCGATGCTGCCAGCACCAGCAGCATCAGCTTTGATGCACCTGTTGCCCCCAAACTAGTCCGCACAGTTCAGTCTGGAAGGCTAGCTACCCCAGCCTCGAAAAAAAGGGCAAGGAGATGCGACANCTAGTCCGCACAGTTCAGTCTGGAAGGCTAGCTACCCCAGCCTCGAAAAAAAGGGCAAGGAGATGCGACATACTCCCAACGTGGCGGCGTTGGACGAGGCTTCCGCACGGCGCCATGGCACCTCGTCCACTAAACAAAATTCAGCACTTCAGCTGAGTGTCTGAGGATGAGAACGACGCTTGTTCCCTTCTAAGCAAGCGCTCCCCGCGCGACGACGACCCATGAACGGCCAGCACCAGGGGTTTGCCAAGCCACATGCAGGGTGAGGGCCTCCCCATGGAGTCGAAATACCGTATTGGGGGCGACTTAGGATGCTGACCACCTTTAGGTACTTCATGTTAATTCAAAATAAGTTTCTGGAAAAGAGTTACCGGGTTTGCTGTGAGTTCACCGTTGACCGCCAGACCCAACGCGAAGACAGCCGGAACCGCTCCATAGTGCAACATCGGGTGCAACCAACGGTTCCAGGCGAAACAGCAACGGTTCCACGCCTGAAAAGGGGACAGTCACAAGCATGATCCGTAATGAAGCACATGCAATGAATTACCAAAGAGCAGCACAAAGAAGCGCCACATGATCGAGGAACACGCAGCGTCGAGTGGAAGTAAAATCCAACCCGGGGCTTCTCCTAGGATATTGTGGGAGCTGGCTCCGCAGTGAACCAGCAGTGGTGTACAGCGATACGAAGGAAATATATGCTACGTCAAGGGACTGGCGTTTCAGGTGTAGAAGGACAGCGGCTCTGCGAGCCCGACGCTCTTATGCGGCTGCAGCAGTGAAACAACGGCAGTTCGAGGCAGCAATGTAAGTACCGTTTGGGCTTTTCTCTCCAACGCATCCTTGCTCAAGGCGGCTCCCATCCTGGAGATGAGGAGCAGCAGGGAAAACAGAAGGCTCCTACGGTCACGTCGTCCGTTCGGCAGCAGGCTTCGGCCAGTAGTTGACGTGTAGGAGTTTAGTTTGCGTATATGCGGCAGAAAATGTAGCAACAACACATTTGGACGTGTACTACTATTCTGTTTTGCAGTTTCACGAATAACAAGACTTCGAACCGGACCCACTCGACGATTGGGGCTGCAGTCCAGACCCGACGCATGGAGAAAGCCGCTGGCTATATTGCGCATAATAGGAAAAGTATGAACACCTAAAGTATAATAAAGGGAATTGTATAATGGCTATTCATGCTGGGGAGATCTACCTGTAATTACACATGGCCTCATGTGCTGACGGGTACTATACGTGTTTATTCGTTCTGTGCCCCCCGTAGTTTGTTGGAAAGCGCACTGCCGTAGATTACCTTTTCTAAAGAATATTTACAAGCAAGAAGCATCCTTCTGTCTTTCCTTGGTTGCTCCGTCAGCGGCTGTTTCTAGTGGCTTTCACACGCATCTGCACTTCAATGAAAATGACTGCAAATGNTTGCTCCGTCAGCGGCTGTTTCTAGTGGCTTTCACACGCATCTGCACTTCAATGAAAATGACTGCAAATGCAGACATCGTTGTGGTGGGCTGCATCAACTCGGACCTTGTGTCCTTTGTATCGCGACTTCCGAGTGCAGGGGAGACAGTTTTCTCTTCTGCACTGGAGAGTCATTTTGGAGGCAAAGGAGCTAACCAGGCTGCTCAAGCTGCCCTCTTGCTGCAGAGCAATTCAACTTGTGCAAAAGTGACCCACGAATGTGCCTTCGGTGCATCGCAGCAAGTCTCGGACAACGGGCTATTCGAAAACGGTACAACTACAAATGGAGACAACAGATCTACTTGCGGTGTCGCGATGGTTGGTAGGGTTGGAAGAGATGCTGCAGGATTGAGTTTTCTGCGCCACTTTCAGTCGCTGGGTATTGATACTCGGGGGATCTACATAGACTCGCAAGCTGGAACGGGCACTGCCCTTGTCACTGTTGCTGACGGCGGGGAAAATACGATAGCCTACGTGCCCGGGGCGAACGCGTTATTGAATAAGGAGCATATCTCCGCAGAGCCTGTTCTATCGTAACTCACCACGGCCCTAGAGTATTTGCAGCAGTGTAACACCCTACTGAGCGCTTGTGCACATCGCTACCCAACATATACCAATTTCGCCGCAGATGCCCGTGTAGGTTCAACTCCAGCCGGGCAGTTTAATGTTGTTGCAGTGGCACCGACTTCTATTTCAGGGGGCGATTATCAATAGCGACTGCGTGGCTTCTGTTGCTGTGTTTCAGGTTGCTGCGGGGAGCAAAAGTGGTTGTTTCAGAGAATGGAGTCCCGGGGTCAGCCTCGGTGGAGTGCTTTCGAATTGCCAAGAAGGCAAACGCCAATGTCTTGACAGTATTTACGCCAGCTCCGGTGGACTGCGTCGATCCGGAGATTTGCTGTTTCACGGATTTTCTTCTTTGCAACAACATCGAAGCAAAAGCGCTTNCTGCGTCGATCCGGAGATTTGCTGTTTCACGGATTTTCTTCTTTGCAACAACATCGAAGCAAAAGCGCTTATGAAGATGTGGGACAGCGAAGCGGCTGCCACTGAAACCAACGACGGAGGACAGATTTCACGTCGTCTCCATGATGTGATGATTCGTACGGCTTCTCGGTTTCCGGGGGGCGCGCGAGGCCTTGCCAACGTTGTCATCACTCGAGGAGCCCACCCCTGTGTAATATTTGCAAATGGAAAGACGACGGAAGTGCCACTGGCGAAACAGGTTCCGAGTGAACTCGTTGTCGACACGACGGGGGCGGGTGACTCTTTTGCAGGATCGTTTGCTTATTTCCTTCTTCAAGCACCCAACTCACCTGAAGCAGCAGTAGCCAAGGCGACGTTCGTTGCAGCGCAATCCGTCACCAAGAAAGCCGCTGCGGAAAGCTACGCGGGAAGGCACGAGCTTCCTGATCATTTATTCCAGCGCTCATGAAGGGGAATTATTGGAACTTACTAGCTACATTTTTAGTTATATCTGCCTAAATGACGAATTGCTGGGTTCACAGAGAACACGCATTTCAACCGTGTCGTATTCTAGCAGCATTCCTTTGGAAGGTATCTGCTCTTGTTGCTGAAATTTAGCTTCCAGGCAAATCTGTTACAAAATTTCTTAATTATTATTCGGGTAAACCATGAAACAGCTCGAAACGTGCAACAGAGAGCAATAAATCGGTTTCTAGTCTACCGGGATGCACCTTGTCCGTACACCCTGACCATGATCGCCTGCGTACAAGAAGTTCATCTTCCGTCACTTTCGCGTGATGCAACTGCGGGGCACGGAATATTTTTGCAATGGTGATGCGCGTATCCGTCCCTTCTCCAATCAGTGTCTTTGCAGACAATGCGGATGCTGCACAGGCGATAGCAATATTGTACCCTGATTCGACCCAGGGTAGGGCTCCTCAAAGCGACCGCAAGATTTATTTGTTTCCACAGCAGTCCACCATGTTAATTTTGCAGATGCAGCAAAGGAAACACCATACGTTGCAATTCGTTTAGGATCTCTGAGAAATGTTTGGCGCAGTTCCCCTTTCAGTGCTAAGCAGTCGGGAACCGACAGCCTTTGGGAAAGAGAAATCTGCGCTCCTCCCCTAGCGCCAACGCCAAAACAAACTGTTTTAAGTCCTGCTTCTGCTCACCC